TACAAAAGATGCTCGAAATGACCAGCTTGCATTTGAAGACAAGCCTGCACGCGTCTTGTCATTCATCTGGTTACTCTCTCTATCGTTCCTGGTGTTTCTCGAATTTGTCGGAAGCCTTGCTCTATTCTATTTCGTAGTATTTCGGCATTTTCAATCGATGTTGCGTATACGATAGATTTTAAATGTCCCGACAAATGAAAATCTAATGGATTGAAATCCGGAGAACGAGCAGGCCATGCAATAGCACCTCCACGACCAATCCATTTATTTGCAAAGTGTTGAAAAATTGCCTAGCCACTCGGCTAAAATGCGACGGAGCTCCATCATGCATAAACCGCATACGAATAATCTAATATCGAGTGGAACTTTCTCTAATATTTCGTGCAAACGCGTGCTCAAAAAATCAACGTACTTTGTGCCTGTTAGTTTCCCATCAAGAAAAAAAGATCCAATTAAAAATTTATCAATTATTCCTGCCCATACGTTTAAACTAAACTTGGTGTTGATGTCTTGAATGCACAATAACATGTGGGTTTTCTTCATCCCAATTATGATTATTATGAAAATTGAATATATCATCCCTGGTAAAACTAGCTTACTAGAGTTTTCTCTGTTTATAAAATTCATTATATCTCATAAACGAAGACAGATAGGACATACATTTATATTTTTCTTCATTATTTTTAGGCGTACAATCAGCTCCCGCAAGTTACGAAACACCCTGTATATATTATTCTAGATATCGTATGTATGTTATTTATATAAATATATATCATTTAAATTAAATATCTTAATTATACATATTTTACTTCTCTAATCTCAGAAATATGAATTTGGAATATATTTCTTGCAATGTAACACAATTTGCAATTACAATTTGAAAGTTAATAACAGTTTTCTACATAAGAATTTCTCACTGTTTTCGATCCTATAAATATATCCTTTGCAATTGCTTCTAACACTCTGTGTACAAAATTATTCAGCACACCTGAAGAGACTCGAAGAATTAACAAAGGCAGGCACAATTGCACGCACGCGCATACATATGTATTTTGATATTTGCTTACACCGATAAAGCCATTTAAGGAGAAGATGTAAAACTTTCCAGCAGTGACGTGCAAAGTTCGTCGCCCAACGGACATTGCCAGAAGAAATAACTTTTGATTGCGGACCGATAGATCGTTCCAATCCGTAATGTAGAACGCTTCGCTCACTTTCGTGGACTGAATATGAAAAATTTTTTAATCACGTGCTTTCGTTTCTTTCGTACGATCGTTTGAAACAATGTGCGTGCAAAAGTATCCCGGCAGACAGATATTACGATTTCCGGTTTATACAAATCTCGAGGATCGATATTAGAGGGGATATTAGTTATGTTACATATTGTAACAAACAAACATGCTTGTGCATGTGCATATTCATTTAACCTCTTGCGCTGGAATGACGTGCCCACGCACGTCGACAACTTTTCGTCCCAAATTGCAACATTTTCTCAGCTTTAAGTATATTTAAAAATAACGTAACCCAACATTTTCTCAGCTCTAAGTATATTTAAAATAAAGTGACCCAGGCGAAACGAATGAGACAAGTTTATTAATAATTTCTATCCAGTGATATCATATATACCGACGAGTTCGAAAAGGTAAAAGAAAGCGACGAATTATTGTGTACGGTTCGGTCACTCGTTACGGTCCGCGCGAAACCAGTTGCCAGCGCAAGGGGTTAACTCTAGAATGACTTACTTGTTATCTCGAACGTGTCACGAGCACGCGATCGTAATTTGAAGTGAGCTACAGGTTTCGTAATTTAAAGTGAAAGAAAAAAAGAAAAAAAAAGAGAACTGAATGAAAAATCTGATGAAGAACCTCGAACGAGGCTCGACAAAATTGCAAACAATTTTATCATCGGGGTGTCTGACGCAACATGATCCGATGCTTATTTCACTCTTCAATAATAATAAATCAATAAACATTTCTTTTACTAAGAAACTTTTTGCTCGAGATTATTGTAATTCCGTTATAAGAGTTATTCTCCTCGTCGTAAATGCGAAGATCTATCTGGTCGAGGATCTTTGCACTCTACTGCAAATGATAGATACTTCGTTCGACAGTCGTTCACCCACGAAGGAGTATAGGTACAACATTAACACGACTATTGAAACGTATAAACAGTAGGTCAAAGTGTTTACGAAACTTCCCGATGGATTCTGAAAAATTGAAAATCAGCTCGAGTTAGAATCTGAGAATTCACATGTTGAATTGAAATATTGAGAAATGCTTGTGTCGTACTTAAATTGTACTTCTGCGCCGATCAATAATAAAATGTGCACACCGAGTCTGTTAGAAAATTTCCGAATTCAAGAATTTCGAATTTAGAACTTTGCGACTCGACGCTGTGATTTCGCTGAACTGTGAGACAAGTATTGCACGATCGACAATGTAAAAACGATAAGTGTGATTAGATGAACGTACTAGAAGCATCATGTATATGAGGACAGCCATTCTAATGCTCGTTTGCGACAGTTCCAGCAGAAGGAAAATTTGGAAGGCTGAATTGATGGAGTTCACTGTTCTATATGAGGTTTTAAATATTAATATCAATAGATCACAATAATAATTATTATTAGTAATATACAAAAAAATAATAAAATGTTAGCTGTACGTGTGTTATAAATTATATATTATAATTAATTATTTAATTATATTATAATTAGATATTATAAATTTTGATATTATATGCTATGTACAGGATAGAGCACACATACAATGAAAACATCTAACTATCTTTGTTGATTTTGGAGACAAGGACAATATGAATATAAGAATACTGTCCCTATCTTTCCTTGTCTCTCACTCGATAAATTTTGCAGACTCGGCATTGAAATATCTTCCAAATTTCTAATAGGTTGCCGATATAAAATAATATTGAAATTATTTACAAAATATATAAAATATCCCCTAAACTGATAGCCTTTACAGAGAATGTCGAGCTGTGTTGATTAGCGGGTAAAATAATATAAATGATTCCATTGAAAAAAATTGGAGTCGACCTTGGAATCCTCCACTTTTGTTACTGAATAATTTTTATTAACAAAATTTACCCATATCTTTAAAAACAACAGAGATATTCAGGTCCTATCTATGTGTGCTTCATCCTGCAGTCTTCTTATATCGTTTCTTCTATTATATTTACCTAATTTTGTCCCCGGGATACATTTATTCAGTTCAAAGTTTAATGTAATCGTTTAATTTAAATTATTTAAGCGTATCAGAAGTGAAAGCAGTGAAACGACATAAAACGCTCAAATACTCACGTCGTCAGTTTTATGTGCGCGACCACGAATTCTTCAATCACATTGTCTAAATGAACATTTACATTCGTGGGGATATTTCGTATGCGGTACGACAATATTGAGAATTTACCACAAATGTGTAACACCAGATTAATTAATGTACTGATGGCGCTTATATGGTTTAACGCTAGAAACACGAGTGGGAACTGGTACAGATACATGATGACAAAGTTCTGAAGGTCGTTCTGATAATCGAGAAAAGCGTGAACACGAAAGGGCAATTTATAGTCACTCGATGATCCGTTACTTTGTCCTGAAATGATATCACACGGACGAGATTGTTCATTTCTCTTCTATATTTGCATTTGCATTTTCATTCAATATTATACAGGGTGATTATTACGTAGGATATATAATAATTATACACGAGAGAAATAGATCGAAAATTTTTAATATATTTTTAATATATTATATTAAATATATTAAATATATATATTATTTTAATATATTATACTAAATATTGAACAGGGTTTTTAAATATATTAAATTAAATAAATAATATATATTATTTATTATTTTTAATATTTTAATATATTTAATATTATATTAAATATATTAAAATAATATACATATTTAATATATTAAACAGGGATTTTTAATATATTATATTAAATAAATTACTTTAATATAAATAAAATTATTTTAATATAAATTACTTTTATTATATATAATAAATTAAACTTCAAATATTTTTTTGAGTATTCTTTCTTTTCGACTTGGTTTCTGCATCTAAAAATCACCTTCTGTCCGATTGTGCCATCAGTTACGTGTTAGTACAGCCCCGAATATTATTTTATTTCTCTCATTTCTCTCAAGTGTTAGCTCACGCGCGCGACAATATCGTCAGAAAACGATTTACCGATTGATTTTATCAGGATCAGTAACGATTAAATTACGATTTAGTTAAGTACCTGATTGAGGCTTCAACAGATGGAGCATAGGTGTGAGATACCAGAGAGTTGCTATCACCAAGGTCGTTGAAATAGCGTATCTACCAAATTTATCCGAAATCTTGTGATACGCGAGGTACAAGCGCATCTCCTCCAATGTCTCGAACTTGCACGTGGTCATTTCTTGCTTCACAGTGACGATCGCCTGTTCGATCAGTTTGTTGAATCGGAGTAAAAATAAGAAGTAATACGTAACCGTGGCCAAGGTTGTGTCTATAATGTTCTCCACCATTGATTTGAGATTGCCAAACGACTCGATTAGGTCCATGTACATTATGACCATGTGAACACTGAGATACGACATATACATGATGAACCTCGTGTACCTTTTTCTCAAGGGCCATGAGTCGAATATTTCAAAGACGCGTTCGTTCAGTAAGAACACGTCTTTCACTTTTTCGTTCATGTGTCCCTGTGACACGTGAATGTTGCAAATTAATACAGCTGCCAGTGATTTTGGAATATCAAACGAAATAATAACGGCAATGACAATTGTATTTAACAGCGACAATGAGAATAATAATTGTAGCGTAATGAACTGTAGTGTTGTTATTTTGTCGAGAACAACTCCGTCGCCATTTGCAAGGATCTAGTAATAATGATGATGACAATAATAAGAATGGCTATATAGATTAGTTTGTGACTTTTGTATACTAGAATATCAAACGAAATGACAGTTGTATTTCACTGGTAATAATGATGATAACAATTATATAATTTAATTGGAAACGACACCATTTGCAAGAGCCTAAAGTTATGTTTAATAATGATGATGATGATGGGAATAAGAATGACTAAAATTAATTCGTTAATGTTCCATTATCGAACTCGTTATTTGCAGAAAATTTAAGATGAATAAATTTGCAAAAGTTCCTAAACGAAGTATATAAAAGAGAGATTATATAAAAATAATAATGTGCATTGTTTTAGTACAGATTACATAAAAAAGAATGTTTTGAGAGGCATCGTCGTTACTGTTTCATGTTAATAGAAATATAAAATATTAAATCGTATCAATCGTAACAAAAAAACAGTTCTTTTGAAATTTCGTCAGATATGTCAGACGTAGAGTATCATAGAATAAGTCAGTCATCAATTTCAAATATTATAGAATAAGTCAATTATCAAAAATACTACAATGTTGTAAGCCTTTTCACGCTAACTTATAAATAATCTTTTCTACGATAATGAATTTCCAAAATCACTAATCATCTAAAAAAAAAAAAAAAAAAGAAAACTAAATCTTTCAATCTAAATTAAATATCAAGATCCAATCCTCGTGTTGCGACACGATATATTTTTGAAATATAATGTGATCTTCGCGAAAGCCATCATATCACTATACGTGTATGATACTCCCTCTAAAACTGATTAAAACACTTCAACCTCCTTCTGTCAGTCACTTGGAACGCGTCCGTGTGAACGAACGATAAACGAAAAATTGAAACGTATACAAAGTACACAGAGCACGTCTTACGTTCATCGCAGTAACTTTCGTCGTTGAATCGAATTGTGGCTCCATTATCTACCGACTACCGTCTTATCTATACATATCATGTCAGTGATCGATCAACGATTATTCCTACGGAAAAATTGATGGTTATCCGAGTCATCCACATCACATTTCATCCAATTATTATCTTGCAACTGTCGCTCGGATAATTTCTTTCTTACTCAATTATTGCAATTCAGTCGTCGATTACAGTTTGTTTCTCGAACTTCTCTTCAGTTCTGTCCGAGCGATTAAAATTAAAAACGAACAAACTTAAACGCACTTGGAACTTACTTCCTCGCTGAAGCAAAGCGATTAACTGGACGCGATCTTTTTCTAATGATACGTAGACAGGGAAAAGCGGATGACAAGTAATTTAGGCGTGTAGCACGGCGCTTTTTAGCGTGTTTCGTCGCGAAACGTTTGTTGAAATTGAGAGCTGTTAGCAGAGACAAGCGGCGGATAGGAAAATTGGATTTATTCAAATTAGTTTCAACGTCGCTTGAATCCCGTGGAGAAAGGCAGAGTGAATTTCAGGGAGAAGTGTCCCTGAAATGGAAAGATATCGAGCGTTTGATTAAACTGATTCTGCTGCACCGAGCATTGTGATGTGTTACACGAAACACGGTACGATAACGTGTGAAATTTCGCTACTCCGGGCCACGTGTTGAAACAATAAAATACTCTGATCTTATTGTTAGTGTTTCGAAATAGGTACAACTTCGAGTAAATACAAATATAAGTGGTTTCTTTGAATAAATGCAAGTATTACAGATATACAGAATATATAAATATTTTGTTCGTGATATCAACACGTTCATTGATCCATATAGCAGACGTGATACATGGTGTTGATTCATGCCGAGTCTTTTGATGTACGATGAAGTTTGTACGAATGAGAGTCGAACGTGTACGAATGAGTTTTAATGAAGCGATACGCGATATGAAATTAATATAATTTTATAAATAATGAAATTAATACAGAAAATTTATTTATTGTAAATGATAGTATAGGACCGGTGGTTAATATTTTCAATTGAAAATTATAATTATAATTGATTAAAAATAAAATTGAAATTTGTACGAATTGAATGTGAACGAATGAGTTTTAATGAAGCGATACGCGATATGAAATTAATATAATTTTAAAAATTATGAAATTAATACAGAAAAGTCATGTTTATTTATTGTAAATGATAGTACAGGCCCGAAGGTGTTAATATTTTCAATTGAAAATTATAATTATAATTGATTAAAAATAAAATTGAAGTTTGTACGAATGAGAGTCGAACGTGTACGAACAGTTTTAATGAAGCGATATGAAATTGATATAATTTTATAAATATGATGAAATTAATACAGAAAAGTCATGTTTATTTATTGTAAATAATAGTATAGGACCGAAGGTGTTAACATTTCCAATTGAAAATTATAATTATAATTGATCAAAAGATAAAATTATTAAAATTAAAATTATAATTATAATTAAAGATTCAATTGAAAAAACACTGTTCGTGTTCTTCAGAAACTCGTTTGAAAAGATTTATTTTATCAAAAGAGATGGTGGTGCTTCTAGTAAAGAAATTCCGAGATAAATATAAAAATATTTATACTCTCAAGATAAATATAAAAATATTTATACTCTCTGCGCATGAACTTTGAGTACTGAGGGAACGAAATATCTTCGAGACGAAATGCTCAATTACGTTGTCTCTATTAGAATTTCGTTCAATAATTCGAATCGTCGGTATTTTTCCATTGCTCTGTCCATTCCAAAAGAATCGGATGAATTTTTTTCGTACGATTGACTGGAATCAAAATTAATCGTGGTCGGGTCAAGAATCAATTGAAAGAAAATTTCTCGGTATATTTGACTAAACCTTCATGTACTAAATGAGCAGTCAAGGTCCCACATGTTGCCTTATTGTCGCGCAGCTTCCTCATTTCTATCAACCACGTTACATTCTCAGTATACGCTTTGTTCTTTGGCGAGGAAAAAGGCATATTACGAATCCGTAACGTGACACACGCAATCAGTAGGCCAAATACACGTTGAGCTCTTGGATTCAGGTAAAAAATTTGTTCGAAACATGATATGTTTTAGCCACCTGGAACGATTCGTTGCTCGTTTTTTGTATAAAGTTTTTACATTAGTTTTATAATAGTTTTATATAAAGTTTTCTTTTTTAAATTTAATGAAAACGAAGACGAAGAATGTTAAAAGAAGGTTAAAAGTGTTTTCTTTCTGGACATGAAAGAAATTTCAAATTTTAAAATATGTACATTCTGTAATGTATCCTTTTCAGCAAGTACAGCTCTAAAATTCAATTTAGAATAAATTTAAAAATCTAGGAATTTTCATTCAAAGATAAATCTAAACTTGAAACTCTTAGAACTCAGCAAATGAGAAATTTGGGATACTTGTTTCTGGATTATTGGAAGAATCAACGTCTGATACAAGACAATAAAGAAAATTTGCTCTTCAAGTAACAAACAATTAAATTTCACGCTAGTCTGTGGATTAATGAATCAGTTTTCTCGCTACAATTTAAATCTATTTTCGTCTGTGATTCAACCTCAGATACATCGAGGTAATTCCTCAGCTAGTAGTTCACTGATAACATTCATTATTCGATCTGTAAATCATTCAGAACTTTATTTACTTAATCAACAATTACTTGATTGTTAGATTTCTTTTTTCAAGAAACACGTAACAAACTGTGCGTATAGGCGAAACTTTTAATAGCGATGTGTTTAAACTAACAATTTAATCTATAATTAAGTTAACATATATACAAATTAATGAAGTATATAAATACGAAAAATATTACAAACAGAATGTGAGTATTGATATTTATAAACGTCGAGTTTCATCAAGTATAAATTGTAAAATTGGAATCGACTTTACGTAATAAATGTACAAACGTGTGAATTCAGCTGAATAAATTGAAAGAAAATTTCGCGGAAAATCGTTCTGTAGACGGAAGTGAGGAATTATCTTTTCGGGTGAAGGATTCAACAACCTTGAATACATAGTCTATGATACACACACGTGTACTGATAAACGAGAAGAATTAATGATGATGCAAGAATTTTCTGTATGATATACGGCCCTGTAATCGTACACACACACACAGATGATGCAAAAAAGAACAAATAACAATGGAGCCCGTCGAAACGGATGACGAAAATTTGCCTCTTCTTTTCTTTCCATTCTCTCTATTTTTTTTCATATCTTATACTAACAATTCCTTTCGTTCCTTTAAAATTGACAATAATTCTCGAATCCTTTTCTATGAGATGACAATTGATTCGATATAATAAATCGCAGAAATAGATTGTATCAATTGAATACATTAATACTCGATTATAAAACTATATGAATATAATCGACATATAAACTTCCTCCTTTTTGTGATTTAATTTTGAAAATCACGGTAGTCTTTGGTTTAAATGTTGTTCCAAATTGTTATCACTGGCAAATGATATAATTCTTGTCATGGCAAGTAAGTTGTTTTCACTGACGTTTCAGAATTGATAGACCGTTGATAGACGAATTGTTCTTCAAAGATCCTCGATCCTTTCCTTTGACTTTCTAACTGAAAGTTCATCGAAGAATTACAAATTCTGTATAAAAATTTCTTCAGGTGCGTCATATCTTTAATAGATTGAAGATGCGAATTGTTGAGTTGTCAAAAATGAAACGATAGCATGACAAACTCAGAAACAATTAAGCATTTATATCGGGACTTCTTTGGATTGTCAATGAGCGGATGATTCAGTCTCAAGTCATCCGAGAAATGAAGATTATATTATATTATATTGTCTATCTTCTTTTTTTCTTCCTTTTCTTTTTTTGTGTCATTCTGCAATCGTATCGCACAGTTGCTTTTTACGTGACACTGCTTCGTGATAAGAGTTCGCGTGATAAACGACGAGGAAAATAAACCAGTTCCAAAAATCAGTGTACTCTTATAAATCATATGAAACAGTGGCAAGTTC